GCTTCGCTGGAGTACGAAACTCTTCTACTTATGTAACTTTTTGGTTCTTGGGGGTTTGAGTCAGATAGCCTGGCTGACAAAAGCTGACTTTGTATCTTCAGATCGGTTTGATTTGGTATTATAGACAGGAGCCTGCCAGTAATATTGAGACAGGAAGAATGTATTACAAGAGGGGAAGCAATATATATATATATATATATATATATATATATATATTGCAGTCGTTTCTTCAGAAACAGATGCAGACAGCTTTCATTCTGGGATATTTTACAAATGATCATTTTCTTTTCTAGGTTTCGTTGAATATTAACTGATTTTATTCAATGATTATAATCACTTGTTCATCTGATCTCTTTAATTTGCCACTTAATTATGTGATCAATATTGACATCCAATTAGCTTGGAAAACCATGATACAATTTCATGATCATCTTTTTTTATTTTTAATCACTAGTCTTATATACACATGAAATCACCGGTGAGCATGCAAGTTATCTACAAGCTACCTAAAGAGCACAAGCTTGGAATTGTATCGAACTTGTTTACTAAAAGAGAGAAGGAATGAAAGCGTCAGAGTATTTTCTTGTATACAGTTGGGTTGAGTTTGGATATATGATTGTATTCTATTTAATTTTTTATAATTTTATAAAGTTTAAATTTGATCTATTTAAATATTTTTGGATTTAAATTAGTTAGATAGATGTGTTTGACTAATTTTTATATGATTATTATAAATATCTACATCTTAGGATTATATTGTTAATTTTCATGAGTTTGTATTTAGAGATGGATTTACAATATGATTGTCAACTTAATATTAATTTTAATTTTCATACTTTATATCACTGTTAAATTCTAGTTATGACATTCCTCTAACAAAGACAAATATTTTTTATTATGTTAAATAATATCCAATTTACAAGCTATAAAAATGAAGATTAAAAAAGGTATATGCTATATGAGTTTGGATCACGTTGAGCGGTTTCAAAAACCTTGATGAGTTACCCTACCTGTAATATCTATCTTTCGTCCAATAAAGACAAATATTTTTTATTATGTTAAATAAATTTAAATAGAATCCCACTAACAAAAAAATTAGAGCCAAAACATTTTTAAATAAATTAAAAATAATATCTAATTTATAAGTTATGAAATATAAAGATAAAAAAAATACATGTGTAGTTGGGTAACATTGACCGGATTTTAAAAAACTTAATTAGTTACCCAACCTATAATATGTATTTTTTTAGGTTTTTTAAACTTTTATAATTTATAATTTCCCCATGATCAGATTTTAAAGCTAGGTCGAATCATACCATGCAAGTATTACAGATATGTTAGTTTTTTTTAACATCCCTAAGTAGCAGTGCTCTTCTTCCTGGAAATAAATTTAATTTCTTGGGTCCATTTGGTTGTGCGCAAATTGAAACATTAAAGTGAACCCTCACACACGTGTGTGTGAATTAAATTGATGTTCGCTGATGTCTTAAATGTCAAGTTTACTAAGGATGCTCCATCTTAAATTGGCGTAGCCCTTTCTTTATTAGGTAAATTTTACGATCAAAAGTCAACCATTTCCACTTCTAAGTCCACAAATAGAAACTCTGTCAACCATTTCCACTTCTAAGTCCACAATTAGAAACTCTTTTTTTTTTTTTTTAAATAAATAATAATTCGAAAAGCTTAATTAAACAGCTGTAATCTTCCTCTTCCTCTTCCTCTTCTTCTCTTTTATTTTTATAAAAAATATATCAAAATAATTTCTTTTTTTTTCCCGTAAGCTAAGCATGTGGATCGCTTCAATACATGATTATATTAGTTTATTGAAATCTTAGTTCCAAGTTAGGAGTCAACAAAGTTGATAAGAAGCAAATTGATCGCTGTAGTAGCTAGTATAGTAGATTACACAGGAAATTGGTTGAATATGGTCATCAACAGTCGGCTTTTGAAGCCGTTCAACCCCCCCGCCGTCGAACGATATTTACTAGACGAAGAATTTGTACGTGTAGGTAAGCGTCATGAACACTTGGAATTTTCTGGAAACGAAGCACACCACGCAACAACCAGCAAGTTCTAAGAAATTACGAAAAACAAGATTATTAACTTCGGTGTCCATTAGCGAGGGTTTTTACCTTGAAACCTTATTGAATTTTGGATAAGTGCTTCGGCCAGTAATTGAAAATAATAAAACATAAATTTAATTTTCGTAGATGACCCAGTCATTGTCAATATGAGAAAAAAAAAATATTACCATGATCTTTCTTTACAATTAAATTTTATATATCTAAAAAGTTTAAATATTATTTTAATGTATTTATAAATTAAAAATATTTTAAAAAATAATTATTATTATAGTATAAAACATTATCTTAAGCGTGTTTAACATTGCCCTAAACTGTTATTCACCAAAATTATTTTTTTATTTAAAATTATTTTTAATATTTTAAAATTAATTTTATATCTTCACATCAATAATAATTTTTTTAAAATAAAAAATATTTTTTAAAATAATTTAAAAAACAACCACTAATTATCATTTTCCTAAGTACAGGTATAATTCACGAAAGGTTAGTCAATCATAAACTCAAGTCAACGGTGATGACATTAATTTGGTGGCATGCACGTCCAACGAGGATCAAATTTCCACAATTAAGATCATTGGCTGCTTAATTTAAGAGAATAATAACTGAAAAACCGAACAGAAAGTGACTGGCGAGGATTAACGTGACAAACACCAGAATATTAACTGCTTTTGTTTTTTTATTTCCTCGCTCCTTTTTAGAGTAAGGAAGACGAACTTGAATTGCAATTGCAGGAAAAGAGAGATAAAAATCCAAATAAATCGCGACGCTAAGGAATTTGATTAAGGTCATAATTAACTCCACTGCAACTAAATATAATTAAATCATTAAACTTACAGCCAATATCCCAGGTCTTTTCCATTATTTAAAGATAAGCCACTTGTAAAACACAGTTTAGATCCATTTCTTGAGAGTCCAAATATTCCTTTGGATCATCACAAGTGACTTTATGAAAACTCTAACCCGTCAACGTTCTAAAAATCCCATTATGTAATTCAGTTAAAGCTCTACTAAAAGAATTAATTATTCAATCCTGTAGTTAATATCATCAATAAACAAAAAAGGAGAATAAAAATATCAAATATGAAATAGCATCCTATGTGCTGGCATCGCAACAGAAAGTATCATTTGAGTGTTAGAAGATGATAATGAGGTGAAATAGTGTTGTTTTTAATTTAAAAATATATTAAAAAATATTTATTTTATTTTTTAAAATTTATTTTTGATATTAGTATATTAAAATAATTTTAAAAAATATTTTTTAAAAAATAAATTGTAATAAAATACAGCTTCAAAAACAATGAAAAAAAAAAGAAAAAAGAAAGTTGACCCCACAGCAACACTCTCTCGGTCTCCGCCTCTACCTCTGCGATGCCAACTAAGGGGCCCGACTCGCCTTTTAACCAATGTTGACCCCGCTCTCTAAAAACAACCGACTGAAGTATTCCAATGGGAGCGGTGCCTTCAACGCCTCGCCTCTCCGGCGCTTGCCCTCAGTGCACGGCCGAGTATTTAATCGGTTCATTTCTCGGTGAGAAGACGTTTTCTATAGGTTCTCTTCATGAAGCCTGCAAGCTCTTCGGTCAATCTATCACGAAACCTCCCCCTCCGTTCATTAACGTCTTATCCTGCATTATATAATCTGCATTTGCTTTAATTGTTACTTTATTCGCACACTAACCATGCTCTCTCTCTCTTTTTCATCTTCATCATTTTTTACTGCATTCGATTCTCTGTTTATTGGAACTATAATTATAGAAATTATGTATTTTTTACTTTTTTTTTGTGCAGCACAAAATGATTGTTATACTAGGCATCTGAAGAAGATTTTGATTCACTTATCATAGTGGTTGCAAGAGTGTGCTTCGAATTCTGCTGCACCTTCGGAGGTTTATGCCAAAGCTGTTAATGCAGTTTACATTTCATCTGTTTTTTTTGAAGTATTTAATTGAAAATGCTCAAAGCAATAATAGCATCGGGGAGTTGTATTTGTCATTGAATGTAAGCGAACTAGCACCTAATGATTTCAACACAGGTATTTCATTTTTGTTATTTGGTAAGTAGTGCAAATTGAATGTCAGGGTGTAGTTTTGTTTCAAAGCATCCATAGTCTGCAACATTTAAGTGTTTAACCTGTTCTCTTTTACTATTGTTATCGAATCGGCGTAGTTTGACCATCTTTTCTTCTTAGGAAAAAAATCTAATGGCGAAATGGGTACCAATAAACTACAGTTTTATGCTATAATTGCAAACTAGATTTGGATTAAGGCTATGCAAAGAAATGTAATTGTCATAGAAGTTTCTGAAAGTTTAAACAAGTTCAAACATTTAGATGAAGAATCGCTGAACTCACGCCTTTGTGGTTGGCTACAAATCCTCAAACAGCAGATTAATTATGGAAAGGAGGTCAAAAGAAGGTTAGATTTGAACTTTTGGACTTTCAAGGAATAATTTCAGGACAGATCTTAGTGTTTGCTGATAAAATATATTTATTCAAGCCCCAAGAATGCCAATTGTGTACTTTAGACTCTCTGCTTTCAGTTCTATTGAAGTGTTTGTTTGACAGCTATGCTTTATGCTTTCCAGTACAAGTAAATCATTGTACGTATGCTGAATTTCTTACATGTGTAGATCAAAACATCGAAAATCTTGTCATGCATAGTGTACTTAACTTCATTGGCTCTGTTGAAGTAAGATACACCATGGATTTCTCACCATGCTCCTTATATTAAGATTTTGTGCAATTTGATCTTCTAAAATGCGTTATTTTTGTTCCAAGTTCAAACACATACCTTCTACATCACGAGTAGCTCAATTTCATGCTTATTGCAATGTCAGCCCAACTTCTGTGCTGACAATCTCCTGGACCAAGTGACACGAACCTTTTATTGATGCAGCCATGGTTCAGGTTAGTGGATGACCTTTGGCTTTATTTCTTGTTCTAAGTTCAGAATTGTTTAGGTCTTGCATTCTTTTTATGGACGTCTTCCATAATTTGCTGGAAAGTTCTTGGTTAATTTGGTTGTTGGGAGATTGTTACTTAATTATATAGTGCAGCCTTGTATCCCATTTAACAGTGCATCTTATCCAGTATTTTCTGGCGGGAGGCCGCCTGGAGTTTTACAAAGAGCCGTTTCTGCAGCTCGTATGATGTTCTTATTAGAGCTTCCTTTTATTTAAATAGGCTTGAACTAGTCAGTTTTCTCGCCTAAAAAAGGCTTGAACCACATAGGACTGCTATGTGGAATTTTCTAATATCTATTCACTCTTTCTCATTTTGTCTCGTTCGCATTGCCTGCCTTATGCTTTCAAGTTTGGGTCATATTTACCAGACTACGAATGAGGGTATTAGTGTTAATGCATTGTGATTTTCTCCTTCATCTAAAGCGGAGCATATATTTCTCCAAAACTTCTTTCTTAATTCGATTCATATATTTTTGTTAGCTTTCATATATTTTTTTCTTAACCCATGGATTCCCTTTCAAAGATACTATTAGAAACTCAGTGACCTTTTTTAGCTTTTGTTTACCATCAATGCTTTTGTTGATATTATATATTTGCTTTGCAGCCACTTTTGTTTTATTGCCATTCAATTATTTGGTCAGTTCAACTGGTGAAGGCTCAAGAAATCCATTGGCAGACTGCCGTCTTCATGGGTTGTTTATACTTAATTATTTTCTTAAGTGTGTTGTTGGTGATGAGTCCATGACAGACCGAAGCAATGAAAATGCAACTGCAGATTCTCTTTCTAAAGGAAAAACACACTTCTCTGACTTTCCTTACTGCAAAGCCTTAGAAAATGCAATGTGAGTTCTTTTTGCAATTTTTTTTTTCTCAAGTTGCTTTGATATGTTATATGTTTTTGCCATATTTCAGAGTAGTGCCATGCTTTCAGTTGATCGTGTAGATATCGAGGGGAAGGCGCACAGTGGGTCACGTGTGAGATTGCCATTTGTATCTCTGTTTGATACTCTTGGCATGTAAATGTCTTGATCTTTTACCTCCATGACGAGAGTGATTTCTATGGTTTAAGTTATACTGTGTTTTTGTTAGATTGGATGTATACATGCTAATGCTCTACTACTCTTTGTTGGCTTCAAAAAAGTGATAATTTTAGACTTTATTTTGATTTCTCTTCCTCAATATTTCTCTCTTTGTTGGCTTCGAAGAAAGAGTTCTGGTTTCTCTGTCGCGGGTGCGGTATGATTAATATAACTCCTAAATAAACTTTTTTTTTTTAAAAAAGAAAAAAAGCGATTTTAAATGGCCTGAACTGGATGGGCATTGCATTTCAATCTACCATTTTCATCAAGTGTAGTTGGTCAAACATTTGTAATCGGTCGCTGCAAGGAAGATCCGTGATTCGTTAGAAGTCTGAATATCTTCCTATTAGTGCACCGACGGCTTTCAATCTTGGCATGTTCCTAGCTAGCATAACATAAAGAAGGAGAAGCAAAATCTACAGAAGTATTATTTGTAATTTATATATATGATTGAAAATTTATCTTACATGTTTTGCAACTGAAATTACATTGATTCAAGTATCCATGTTATAACATATATGGCTTGAATAATACACAAAACAGAAACTACAGAAGGGTTCCACCCGAGACGTACTCGGTGCAGGCCAACGCAACCAAACCCAACATGGCAAATCTACCGTTCCACATCTCAGCATCAGATGTCATGACGCCCTCTGACTTGGATTCCGCGCTGATCCCTTTGAACAGTGGGATCAAAGACGCGACAGAGAGCAGAATACTTGTTCCGACGAACCACGAGACTCCACCGTTAGATATCTGAGAAAAAAGGTCTTGGCCCTTGGACAGTTCCACTGCCATTGCAGCGACAAAGCCTATCATGGCAAGCCTGCCATTGATCCTCTCTGGTGCGGGTCCGCTAAATGCCAACAAATCAGCGAATTTTGTGCTGACCTGTTAATCATCATCATGCGTGCGTTTACATTAGAACGTATATATAAATGCAATCACAAAGTCCATGCTCAACTTAAATTGTTAAAATTAAACATTTCCGAAATAACTCATGCCGTATAATTAATCCTGTACCTTTGGCTTAGGAGTAGAACTTAGCCCTGCTGACTTCTTCTGGTCATCCTGCAAATTGAATCAAATGTTAACACAATCCCAAGAACCATCACTTAAAATATATACACAAAGGAAGTCGAAATAGATTCCAAACTCACCAGCTTGGCCTGGCACTGCACCCGTTTGCTAGCACTGCCACGTAGTCGTGGCACATACGTAGCAGAAAACAAGTTGCTCACTCCAGACCGGTTTTTCACCAGGCTACTAGGTACTGGAGTTGCAAGGACGGTCTGCATGACTGTTGATGTGGCCATCACTTGGAAAAATGTTTATCGCTCGAGCTGTGATTAAGAAACTTAATCAATATCTAAACTGTGAAAGCTATTCTAATGCTAGAGTCAACGTTCGTAAGAAATATCACTAGCAGTGAGTTGAAGCTGGAGCTACTTGCTTTGTAATGATAATTAATGAATCTGACAATGGTTTGGTAGGCTGTTATATAGCCGACGGGGGAAGAGAGGAGAGGGCATTTTACTACCACGTCATCTATATCTATTTAAAAAGCTGATTGGATCACGTGGGTTCGGCTGTCCTCACATGGTCAAGAGGGTTACGTGGCCTCCTCACAGTCACTAGTGGAACCCCACCCCATTTGAGAATCCGAGGCCAATGTTCTTCTAGGTTTTTCAGCAGAGCAGCGACCACGGCATAGTAATCGAACTGGACTCAGCCACGATTTTACCTCAATAATTTGACACGTTCAAAATAACACAGTAATCGCAGTAATATAAATTCTTTTTATAATTTCTCGACATGTTTTTTCTCCGGGATATTGTTTTTTAAAAGGTGATTGATTATAGTTTGTGTATCTATACTCCTACAGTTCTCTTTTCTCTGTCCAGTAAGCTAATTTTATTCCTTTCATCTTTATCTTTATCACTTATATTAGAGATTCTTTCTTTTCTTCTTATTGCTTATTGATTTCTCACCAAAACAATTAAAAGTGTATTTTTTATATTTTCTGGTAATTATTGGCATGAATCAATATCTTTTTTAATGCAAGTCAAATAATTTTTCAAATAGTAAATGTCTCGAGTGGAAATTTTCTGATAATATTTGCACGGAACAATTCTTGAATTCTTATCAATATTTATATTATGTTATCATTTCATGTTAAAGTCCATTGCTACTAATAGCATTTTTAAATGCCATGTATCTTGCTGTTCAAATATCAATTTAAATCAATTCTATAATTAAGATTTGAAACATTTACTTCACATTGCAACTCAATAAGAAACTCGATAAAAATCATGTGCAAACCCCTAACTTTTTTTATTTTATTTACATTGATTGTTCTATTTTTTGGATAAATCAACTCACTTACTTTGTCATTTTTAAGAAATGATTCCTTTTAAATTTTAGCAGGCCATTTAACATCAATTACTCTATTATCTAATGCCAATTTACAACTTGTATTATATAGATTTGTCCGCTAAAATAAAGGAATATCAAATGTTTATTAACATCTCTCTCCATGCATTTGAATTGATTATAGATTTATTTCCCATTGACACTTCTAAAGAGAAAAAAACAATAATAAGAAATCATAAAAAATGCATCTTATGTTTAATCAAAACACAAAACTCAAAAGTAAGAGAGAGAGAGAGAAGTAACATTAACATTTAAAATAAAAAATAAATATTTTAATTGTTATTCTGAAGGCATTTCATTGTCATTGTAAAGGAGGACCTAATTTCTTTAGAAGACTACAAGATAATATCTCCATAACGTTTCATTAAAGAGAATTATTCAATTATTAATTAATTATATGTTTCAAATTTAAGATGACAAGGTTGAATTTAATTGCATTTTTATGTGACCTTTGTTGTTACTTATTTTTGGGCTCCACGTGCTGGAAATGATGTGTACCTCTTTTGAACCGAATGCAGGAGTTTAACTTATGTTTGGTGGAATATTGACAAAAGTAGAGAAGAAATAAATGTTTTTCAAACCTTGTTTCAGTTGTTTTCTGCCTATTTTAGCCTCTCATTTTGCTGTCAAAATCATTAGTTTTTTTAGACTAGTTAGAAGTCTTCATAATGCTAAATTTGTTCTTTCTTTATCTGATCTTTAAGGTTGGATAAATTCCTTAGAATTTGCACTAAAAAACTGATTCTGCTGCTATCGTAATTTTTTGTTCCAACTTAGACTTTGATTCTAACTTGGTTTCATGTAATATCTAATCATCCTAACTCTATTATGTCACTCATGCCGTGCTAAAGAATTAATCTACACCTTTATTGGATCCTAAGGCTTACTGTTCTTATGATAGATTCTCAGTTAGATTGGGATGCTTGACATTATCATTTTTTCGAAATCAGATCTAGAGATCTCTTTTGACTAGCTAGGTTATGGCCAGATTCTGTTCTTCAAAACAAATTTATCTCATTTTAAATCCTTCATGAAAGTTATAGATAAGTACGCGTAGATGAATTTAGGTTTTTGAATCTCCTGATTTTAGTATCAAAAGCTCAAGATATTTTCATCTGAATATCTAATGAGAAAGCAGGGAATCCTACAATGAGAAGGTTTCCAGCCTAGTCTTGTTGCAATTCTATTCTTCAAAAAGATTTGATCCCACTTTGAACCCTTCATGAAAATTAAAGACCGATATGGGTAGATGAATTTAGGTTTTTGTATTACCTAATTATGATATTATAAGCTTAAGATATTCTCGTTTGAACATCTAGTGGAAAAGCAAAGAATCCTGCCGCAAGAAGGATTCCAACTCAAGTTTTTTAGGTCTTGATTTGAGGGACCCGATTTAATGTTTTAAGGATTTATTGGATTAATTAAAGACAAATTTAAAACCTTGAAAAGTGAATCAATCTTGTTAGAGGAATTAAAAAAACAAGGATTGGATCAAAAAATATCACAATAATGTTTGTTACTTGGCTGTCGCGCTGAATTTTATTTTGTTTCTTTTCACAAAACCAATGTCGTTTCTTTACCTTCATATATCCCACTCTAACAAAAAAACAAAAACACTACCATTTGGAACTTGGCAGAATAAAACAGCCCCATTGGATTTAATTAGCATGATATTGTTCATTGTCATTTTGAGAACAACCCCTTCCACGTCTGTAACTCTTTTTTTTTTCTACACAACCATTCTTGTTGGTTTTTCTTTTTAATTTCTCCTCTGTTAATTGGCATGTGCAAGACAACCCCTTCCTTTTGTCATACCAGAATTGCAGCTACAAGAAAACGCTATCAAAGGAAACCATTTTGCGCCTCCTATGTGATAGTTGTAAAATGACATGAAGAGAGGAACCCACCATCATCTAATAGTTGAGATTTTATTCCTAACATGGATGACTGAGATGATGTGTTAATATGAAAAGTAATTATTGAGATCACAAAATCAATCAAAATATTCTAGTTTCCTATTTTTCTTTATTTGATCACTCGAGATTACACCCTAAAATTAATGTAATATTTGTTTCCAATAAGAGCTATGTATAGACTATATATGGATTGTTTTTGCTAACCTAAATGGGAGAGAAAAGAGTGGAGAGACGCAGGCAAAACAAGGAGAAAGAAAAGGGGCTTTTCTTTGATACTGGAAGACAGAAGAAAAAAAACCTTCATTGGAACGTGATAGAGAGAAAAAAAGGATACAGAGTAGAGAAGAAGAAACAAAAAGGATGAAAAAAATAGAGAAAAAGACAGAGAAAAAAGAGAGAGCAAAAAGAAGGATTTTTTTTTGTCAAGGAAAGTGATTAGTACTTAAAAGTACATTTTTATCAAGGTTTTATATCATCATTTTGCAATTGAAGTATCAATAACTCAACTAAAGTATGTTTTATAATAACATATCTAATAATATAAGATGCCTTTAATTTATGGTAAATATTCATTTTAAATGCAGGCCTATCACATAAATGAAAGGATTAATTGATAAGTTTAAGAACTGAAATTGAAAAGACAAAGAGATGACCAAACTTAGAAAAGAGATACTGGTACAATCCAAACCGGAACACTGTTTGGTAATTGGGTCATATCTGGAGCTGTAGATCTTGGATTTAGGTCTACTTTATATGGATGGAAAGGTAAGATATAGACTTACAACTTTTATAGGAGCTCAAGATTCAAAAAGGCTATTTTCAAGTCCAAATTATAGTAACAATGAAAAAGTCCGAATCTGTCCTACAGCCCGAATACTGTTCAGTGTTTGACCCATATCTAGAGTTCTAGAAATCTAAATAACCTTCATTTTTTTTCTTGGAAAGCTGAGACAATTTCCTACAACTTTCATGTTTTCAAATGATTTCAATTCTAATGTTATTAATGATGTTTTGAGCAGATAAGAGAAAATAAAGATTGTTACTAAGTCAAGAGTTGGTCACCCGCTCATCAATTAGTTATCAAATAAATAGTTTCTAATTTTGGTTTATAAAAGGAGGCATTTACTATGCATTTAGACATTTTGATCTCTAGATCGAGATCATGTTTTTGCTTTCTCTTTTTATATTTTTATAATATTTTTTTTTTTCTATCATGTTTGAATTTATGTCTAATGATATTGAAGCGCTTATTGGATTACCAATTTGTTATGGTATGATAGATAGTTCAAAATCAAAATTCTCTGTTCACAATTAAAATTCTAGCTGTACTTGGTATGATGGGCATTGCATTTCAATCTACCATTTTCATCGAGTGTAGTTGGTCAAACATTTGTAATCGGTCGCTGCAAGGAAGATCCGTGATTCGTTAGAAGTCTGAATATCTTCCTATTAGTGCACCGACGGCTTTCAATCTTGGCATGTTCCTAGCTAGCATAACATAAAGAAGGAGAAGCAAAATCTACAGAAGTATTATTTGTAATTTATATATATGATTGAAAATTTATCTTACATATTTGCAGCTGAAATTACATTGATTCAAGTATCCATGTTATAACATAAATGGCTTGAATAATACACAAAATCGAAACTACAGAAGGGTTCCACCCGAGACGTACTCGGTGCAGGCCAACGCAACCAAACCCAACATGGCAAATCTACCGTTCCACATCTCAGCATCAGATGTCATGACGCCCTCTGACTTGGATTCCGCGCTGATCCCTTTGAACAGTGGGATCAAAGACGCGACAGAGAGCAGAATACTTGTTCCGACGAACCACGAGACTCCACCGTTAGATATCTGAGAAAAAAGGTCTTGGCCCTTGGACAGTTCCACTGCCATTGCAGCGACAAAGCCTATCATGGCAAGCCTGCCATTGATCCTCTCTGGTGCGGGTCCGCTAAATGCCAACAAATCAGCGAATTTTGTGCTGACCTGTTAATCATCATCATGCGTGCGTTTACATTAGAACGTATATATAAATGCAATCACAAAGTCCATGCTCAACTTAAATTGTTAAAATTAAACATTTCCGAAATAACTCATGCCGTATAATTAATCCTGTACCTTTGGCTTAGGAGTAGAACTTAGCCCTGCTGACTTCTTCTGGTCATCCTGCAAATTGAATTAAAATCATTGATTGCTTTGGGGCTAGTAAGTCAACGTTCGTAAGAAATATCTCTAGCAGTGAGTTGAAGCTGGAGCTACATGCTTTGTAATGATAATTAATGAATCTGACAATGGTTTGGTAGGCTGTTATATAGCCGACGGGGGAAGAGAGGAGAGGGCATTTTACTACCACGTCATCTATATCTATTTAAAAAGCTGATTGGATCACGTGGGTTCGGCTGTCCTCACATGGTCAAGAGGGTTACGTGGCCTCCTCACAGTCACTAGTGGAACCCCACCCCATTTGAGAATCCGAGGCCAATGTTCTTCTAGGTTTTTCAGCAGAGCAGCGACCACGGCATAGTAATCGAACTGGACTCAGCCACGATTTTACCTCAATAATTTGACACGTTCAAAATAACACAGTAATCGCAGTAATATAAATTCTTTTTATAATTTCTCGACATGTTTTTTCTCCGGGATATTGTTTTTTAAAAGGTGATTGATTATAGTTTGTGTATCTATACTCCTACAGTTCTCTTTTCTCTGTCCAGTAAGCTAATTTTATTCCTTTCATCTTTATCTTTATCACTTATATTAGAGATTCTTTATTTTCTTCTCATTGCTTATTGATTTCTCACCAAAACAATTAAAAGTATGTTTTTTGTAGTTTCCGGTAATTATTGGCATGAATCAATATCTTTTTTAAAGGAAGCCAAATAATCTTTCAAATAGTAAATGTCTCAACTGAAAATTTTTTGATAATATATTTGCAATGAACTTTTCTTGAATTCTTGTCAATATTTATACTATGTTATTTTTGAATTCTTGTCAATATTTATACTATGTTATCATTTTATGTCAAGTCTATTGCTATTAATAGCTTTTTTAAATATCATGTATTTTGCTGTTCAAAAATCAATTTAAATCAATTCTATAATTAAAATTTGAAATATTTACTTCATATTATAACTCAATAAGAAACTCGATAAAAATCATGTGCAAACCCCTAATTTTTATTTTATTTTATTCACATTGATTTCTCTATTTTTTGGATAGATCAACTCATTTACTTTGTTATTTTCAAGAAACGATTCCTTTTAAATTTTGACAGACCATTTACCATCAATTACTCTATTGTCTAATGCCAATTTACAACCTGTATTATATAGATTTGCCAGCTAAAATAAAGGAATATCAATTTTTTATTAAAATCTCTCTCCATGTATTTGAATTGATTATAGATTTATTTCCCATTGAAACTTCTAAAGAGAAAAAAAACAATAATAAAAAATTATAAAAATTGCATCTTATGTTTAATTAAAACACAAAACTCAAGAGCAAGAACAAAGAGAGAAGTAACATTAACATTTAAAATAAAAAATAAATATTTTAATTGTTATTTTGAAGGCATTTCATTGTCATTGTAAGGGAGGACCTAATTTCTTTAGAAGACTATAAGATAGCATCTCCATAACGTTGCATTAAAGAGAATTATTCAATTATTAATTAATTATATGTTTCAAATTTAAGATGACAAGCTTGAATCTAATTGCATTTTTATGTGACCTTTGTTGTTACTTATTTTTGGGCTCCACATGCTGGAGATGGTGTGTACCTTTTTTGAACCGAATACAAGAGTTTAACTCATGTTTGGTGGAATATTGACAAAAATAGAGAAGAAATAAATGTTTTTCAAACCTTTTTTAGCCTCCCCTTTTATTGTCAAAATCATTAGTTTTTTTAGATTGGTTAGAAGTCTTTATAAAGCTAAATTTGTTCTTTCTTTATCTGGTCTTTAAGGTTGGATAAATCCCTCAGAATTTGCACTAAAAATTGATTCTGCTACTGTTGTAATTTCTTGTTCCAACTTAGGCTTTGATTCTGACTTGGTTTCATAAAATATCTAATCATCCTAACTTTATTCTGTCACTCATGTCATGTCAAAAAATTAACCTACACCTTTATTGGATCTTAAGGCTCACTGTTCTTATGATAGATTCTCAGTTGGATTGGGATGTTTGACATTATTATTTTTCTGAAATCAGATCTGGAGATCTGTTTTGACCAGCCAGGTTATGACCAGATTCTGTTCTTCAAAACAAATTTATCTCATTTTGAATCCTTCATGAAAGTTATAGACCAGTACGTGTAGATGCATTTAGGTTTTTGAATCTCCTGATTTTAGTAAAATGCTTAAGATATTCCCATTTGAATATCTAATAAGAAAGCAGGGAATCCTGCAATGAGAAGGTTTCCAGCCGAGTCTTGTTGCAATTTTGTTCTTCAAAAAGATTTGATCCCACTTTGAACCCTTCATGGAAATTGAAGATCGATATGGGTAGATGAATTTAGGTTTTTGTATCACTTAATTACGATATCATAAGTTCAAGATATTCTCATTTGATCATCTAGTGGAAAAACAAAGAATCCTGTCACAAGAAAGATTCCAACTCAAGTTTTTTAGGTCTTGATTTGAGGGACTCGATTTTTTAAGGATTTATTGGATTAATTAAAGACAAATTTCAAACTTTGGAAAGTGAATCAATCTCGTTAGAGGAATTAAAAAAACAAGGATTGGATCAGAAAATATCACAATAATGTCTGTTACTTGGCTGTCGCACTGGATTTTATTTTGTTTCTTTTCACAAAACCAGTGTCGTTTCTTTACCTTCATATATCTCACTCTAACAAAAAAACAAAAACACCACCATTTGGAACTTGGCAGAATAAAACAACCCCATTGGATTTAATTAGCATAATATTGTTCATTGTCATTTTGAGAACAACCCCTTCCACGTTTGCAACTCTTTTTTTTCTTTCTACACAACCATTCTTGCTGGTTTTTCTTTTGAATTTCTCCTCTATTAATTGGCATGTGCAAGACAACCCCCTCTTTTTGTCATGCCAGAATTGCAGCTATAAGAAAACACTAGCAAAGGAAACCATTTTGCGCCTCCTCTATGTTAGCTACAAAATGACATGAAGAGAGGAACCCCACCATCATCTAATAGCCGAGATTTTATTCTTAACATAGATGGCTAGTATGATGTGTTAATATGGAAAGTAATTACTGAGATCAAAGAATTAATCAGAATATTCTAGTCTCCTATTTTGCTTTATTTGATCACTCGAGATTACACCCTAAAATTAATGTAATATTTGTTTCCAATAAGAGCTGTGTATAGACTATATATGCATTGCATTTGTTAACCTAAATGGGAGAGAAAAGAGTGGAGAGACGCAGGCAAAATAAGGAGAAAGAAAAGGGGCTTTTCTTTGATACTAGGAGATAGAAGAAAAAAAACCTTCACTGGAACGTGATAGAGAGAAAAAAAGGATACAGAGTAGAGAAGAAGAAACAAAAAGGATGAAAAAAATAGAGAAAAAGACAGAGGAAAAGGAGAGAGCAAAAAGAAGGATTTGTTTTGTCAAGAAAAGTGATTAGTACTTAAAAGTATATTTTTATCAAGGTTTTATATCATCATTTTGCACTTGAAGTATCAATAACTCAACTAAAACATGTTTTATAATAATATATCTAATAATATAAGATGCCTTTAATTTGTGGTAAATATTCATTTTAAATGCAGGCCTATCACATAAATAAAAGGATTAATTGATAAGTTTAAGAATTGAAATTGAAAGGATAAAGAGATGGCCAAACTTAGAAAAGAGATGCTGGTACAGTCCAAACTGAAACACTGTTTGGTAATTGGGTCATATCTGGAGCTGTAGATCTCGGATTTAGGTCTATTTTATATGGATGGAAAGGTAAGACATAGACCTACAACTTTCATAGGAGCTCAAGATTCAAAAAGGCTATTTTCAAGTCCAAATTGTAGCAACAATGAAAAAGTCTGAATCTGTCCTGCAACCCGAACACTGTTTAGTGTTTGACCCATATCTAGAGTATTAGAAATCTAAATGACCTTCATTTTTTTTCCTGAAAAGCTAAGATAATTTTCAACAACTTTCATGTTTTTAAATGGTTCTAATTTTGACGTTATCAATGATGTTTTGGGTAGACAAGAGAAGATAAGGATTGTCACTAAGTCAAGAGTTGACCACCCACTCATCAATTAGTCATTAAATAAATAGTTTTCAATTTTGGTTTATAAAAGGAGGCATTTGTCATGCATTTAGACATTTTGATCTCTAAATCAAGATCATGCTTTTGCTTTCTCTCTTTGTATTTTTATAATACTTAAATTTTCTTTTTCCATCAAGTTTGAATTTGTGTCTAATGATATTGAAGCTCTTATTGGATTACCAATTTGTTATGGTATGATAGATCGTTCAAAATCAAAATTCTCTCTTCAAAATTAGAATTCTAGCTAGATAAGGTGTTTTTTTTTATATATATTTTTTTATATTTCAGGCACTATTTGGTTGTTAGGTTCTTTTTTATTGTGATTAAAATGATTGGTTTTGATTTAGAATTAATTTTAGCTTATGTTGTCCATGAAAGAAAAACAATAATGTAGCATTGATGTTAATAAACCTAAATTTCCAAAATGTTTGTGGTTCGTTAAGGGATCCAAGATTTGCATTGTGAATTTTATGGAATGGAAGAGCTTCATAATAATTTGGAAAAATAAAAATGAACTGATTAGATTTTGTAGGCAAGTTTATGAAATCCCCTCGTATTTTTCTTATAATGGCTATTAAGTAGTTAAAGAATTCATGAGAGTAACGTTTGGTTTCATTTTTATTCATTTGATACATTATGGATTCTTTAGTCATTAATTAAAATACAATGGTAAGTTTGTAAATATTATTTTATTTTTATTTTTTCTTAATGGTATATAAAGTGTCATGAACTTATAAGTTCAGGATGTTTTCTATATTTTTCAAGAAAATAAAAGTAAAATATAAAATTGAGTATGCTTCAGGATGAGCAGATGATTTTTTATTTTTTAAATCAAATAATATCAAATAAAATTTTTTTAATTATTGTTTTAGTTTTTATATATTTTCATATTAAAAAACTTAATATTATTTGAAATGTCATCAATTGATGATTTTACTCAATAATATTTTCTCAAATTGCTTTGATATGTTTTATGTTTTTGCCATATTACAGAGTAGTGCCATGCTTTCAGTTGATCGTATGGATATCGAGGGGAAGGCGCACAGTGGGTCACGTGTTAGATTGCCATTTGCATCTCTGTTTGATACTCTTGGCATGCAAATGTCTTGATCTTTTACCTCCATGACGAGAGTGATTTCTATGGTTTAAGTTATACTAGTGTTTTTGTTAGATTGGATGTATACATGCAAATGCTCTACTACTCTTTATTGGCTTCGAAGGAAATGACAATTAATATATCTCCTAAATAAACCTTTTTAAAAAAAAAGAAAGAAAAAAAGCGATTTTAAATGGCCTGAACTGGATGGGCATTGCATTTCAATCTACCATTTTCATCAAGTGTAGTTGGTCAAACATTTGTAATCGGTCGCTGCAAGGAAGATCCGTGATTCGTTAGAAGTCTGAATATCTTCCTATTAGTGCACCGACGGCTTTCAATCTTGGCATGTTCCTAGCTAGCATAACATAAAGAAGGAGAAGCAAAATCTACAGAAGTATTATTTGTAATTTATATATATGATTGAAAATTTATCTTACATATTTTGCAACTGAAATTACATTGATTCAAGTATCCATGTTATAACATATATGGCTTGAATAATACACAAAACAGAAACTACAGAAGGGTTCCACCCGAGACGTACTCGGTGCAGGCCAACGCAACCAAACCCAACATGGCAAATCTACCGTTCCACATCTCAGCATCAGATGTCATGACGCCCTCTGACTTGGATTCCGCGCTGATCCCTTTGAACAGTGGGATCAAAGACGCGACAGAGAGCAGAATACTTGTTCCGACGAACCACGAGACTCCACCGTTAGATATCTGAGAAAAAAGGTCTTGGCCCTTGGACAGTTCCACTGCCATTGCAGCGACAAAGCCTATCATGGCAAGCCTGCCATTGATCCTCTCTGGTGCGGGTCCGCTAAATGCCAACAAATCAGCGAATTTTGTGCTGACCTGTTAATCGTAGTCATGCGTGCGGTTACATTAGAAGTGTAAGCATAAATGCAATCACAAAGTCCATGCTCAACTTAAATTGTTAAAATTAAACATTTCCGAAATAACCCATGCCGTATAATTAATCCTGTACCTTTGGCTTAGGAGTAGAACTTAGCCCTGCTGACTTCTTCTGGTCATCCTGCAAATTGAATCAAATGTTAACACAATCCTAAGAACCATCACCTAAACTATAAACAAAGGAAGTCGAAATAGATTCCAAACTCACCAGCTTGGCCTGGCACTGCACCCGTTTGCTAGCACTGCCACGTAGTCGTGGCACATACGTAGCAGAAAACAAGTTGCTCACTCCAGACCGGTTTTTCACCAGGCTACTAGGTACTGGAGACGCAAGGACGGTCTGCATGACTGTTGATGTGGCCATCACTTGGAAAAATGTTTATCGCTCGAGCTGTGATTAAGAAACTTAATCAATATCTAAACTTTGAAAGCTATTCTAATGCTAGAGTCAACGTTCGTAAGAAATATCACTAGCAGTGAGTTGAAGCTGGAGCTACTTGCTTTGTAATGATAATTAATGAATCTGACGATGGTTTGGTAGGCTGTTATATAGCCGACGGGGGAAGAGAGGAGAGAGCATTTTACTACCACGTCATCTATATCTATATCAAGTGGGTTACGTGGCCTCCTCACAGTCACTAGTGGAACCCCACCCCATTTGAGAATCCGAGGCCAATGTTCTTCTGGGTTTTTCAGCTGAGCAGCGACCACGGCATAGTAATCGAACTGGACTCAGCCACGATTTCACCGCATTAATTGGACACGTTCAAAATAACACAGCTAAATTAAATCGTACTAATGTATAAAATTTTTGCAATTTGTCGACATGTTTTTTCTTAAATATCCTTTTTTTAACATGTGATTGGTGATTTCAATGTTGCTCTCTTTCTTCTGTCAACTAAGCTAATTTAATTCCCTTCTTATCTTCATCGTTGATATATTGAAAAACGTTTTTTTATTCTCAATTAATTATTGATTTATTACCGAAACATTCAAAAGCATTTTTCTTATATCTTCTAGTATCAACATCTTTTCAAGTACAAGCTAAATTATATTTTAAATAATAAATATTTTAATTAAATTTTTTTAACAATAATTATACTAATTTTTTTTTGAATTCTTATTAATATCTATATTATATTATCATCTCACGTCAACTTTATTACCACTAGCAATTTTTTTAAATGCTATATATCTTGCAATTTAATAATCAATTTAAATCAACTCTATAATTAAAATTCCAAACATTTACTTTACATTGCAACTCAATAAAAAACTTGATAAAAATCATGTGCAAACCCTCAACTCCTTTAAATTTTTGCATTAATTACTTTATTTGTTAGCTAAAATAGAGGGATATCAAATTTTTATTCACATCTCTCTCCATGTATTTGATTTGATTATAGATTTATTTCCTATTAAAACTTCTCATGAGAAAAAAAAAAGGAACACAAAATAATGCATCTTATGTTTAATCAAAACACAAAACTCAACACAAGAAGAAAGAGAGAAATGGCATTAATATTTAAAATAAATAGATAAATATTTTGATTGTTATTTTGAAGGTATTTTATTGTCATTGCAAGGGAGGACCTTATTTTTTTCAGAAGGCTACAAGATAGCATCTTTATAACATCTTTATAATGTTGCATTAAAGAAAATTATTCAATAATTAATTAATTACATGTTTCAAATTTAAGATGATAACTGTGAATCTAATTGCATTTTTATGTGACCTTCTACCTAATTTCTTTCCCCTCATGGATTCTGAATTTTAAAAAAGCCTAGACTATCATTTGTAATCAATTGACCACTTCACAAAGTTGCGACAAAATCCAAAACAATTTATGCTTTCTATTGGTCATGGTTATGACTCTCGGTGGGAGTTGCTTCTACATTAGATTTCCACAAGTCCATTTATTAAAAACAATCTTTATAGTTTACTGCATTGATTGCATTAAACAAGAAGATATATTTTACTTTGTGGAGAACAATTTAGATGTAGCGTTTTCGGCCAGTAAATTAAACAAATAGGTGGCGAGTATAAAGCTGGGGAGAAAATGATAGGAATGGAAAATCAAACCCAATTAATTTGCTAATATAGAAGGGAATTTTGTTCTATCTAATATGATGTTATCAGTATTATTCAAACAATAATCAAAGGATCATGCTTGCTGTCGTTGCTAATAGAGAAGGAGAAAGAGACAATGTTATAACAAGAAATTTAAGAAAACTAACATGATTTATGTCAAAACAGAGAGCACAAAAGGAGACAATAAAAGGAAGATGAAGTAAAGTGAAAAAAACAAGGTGTTTTGAGAGAGAGAGAAAGAGAGTGGAAGCATGGGTTGGTGCTAGGGTTGAAAAAGAGCAAATGGGAGTAAATTAATGTTATATTTTTTTCAAACATGTAAAATTGATCTGAATTTATTGATTTTAACTTAGTTTATCACGTCAAATTTAATTTTATAAGCTTTCAAGTTTTTAGTTTTACATGTAAAATTATATGATTTTATAAGTCAACTCATGATTTAACAACATTACTTATGATTCTTTTTTTTTATATTTTTATTTTATGTTATAAATACTTAATAATTAAAATTATAAGTTTCATAAAATTTTAAGTAAAAGTAAGTTTGTGATTTACAGCACAATGCATATATTTTATGTAAAAGCATTTTTTAAAGAGAAAATAATCCTGACAATTCTATAGTTTATTTAATTTTACACTTTATTTTTATTATTTTATGAATTAGATAAAATATTTTCCATCAATTAAAAATTTTAAATTGATGGAAATGATCAAATTAACCTTGTATTTATTATATCATATAAACAACTAAACAATATCGTGAACCTTCTTTTAGACTGGCTAGAACAAACTCATTTAATTCAAGATTAAACCTTATTTTAATTGTCTTACATGCAACGGATTTAGGGTTGGTGACTAAAATACCTATAATATTGCTTTGCTTTCTTTAAAAATTCTATGATGAACATCACAAACCGTATATTGCTTTGCTTTACTTAAAAATTCTTTTTCTCCTTTCATCAACTCCCCTGTCACCTGACTCCAATTCTTATAATTCCAATTCCATGGATTTCAATTCCATTAATGTCCCATGGAATTATTTTACAAAGTATTTATCATTATTTTTCTCTCAAGAAATCGTCAATTCACTTTAACTTCTCCCGAATCCTGACATCCAAGAAATAGAAGAGAACCCAATTATGAGAACCAGATACCCGAGAAATAGAAGAGAACCCAATTATGAGAACCAGATACTGAGTCGACCCATAAAAACAGAGACAAAGGCCATAAACTCACAAATCAACTCAGTCAGTCGAACTGAGTTTCTTTTCATCTTGACCCTTTCAAAGCCATCTTTAGACAGGGTTATTCAATCCTTGAATGATTATTTGGCTTGCTTGAACTATTACTAGAGTGTCATCACCTAAATGGAACATTGATAAATCTTTTAGCCGAGCTCAAGCTGGGCATAATTTTAGATTAGCCATTAGGTCAAATTACATTAAAATCATTGATTGCTTTGGGGCTAGTAAGTCAGTGACTCGGTTTTATATGATGGAACACTTTTTTGCTTTTAGGTCTGGTTTTCTTTTTTCTACCGAGCTTGAATTTGTGTCCAATGATATTGAGGTTTTTATTGGATTTCTTATTTGTTACGGTTTGATAGATTGTTTTGAATTAAAATTACCTCTTCAAAATTAAAATTTTAGCTAGATAATGTGTTTTTTTTAGCATTTGTTTTTCAAATTTTAGCCACTATTTAGTTGTTAGGTTTTTGTTGATTGTGATTAAAGTTGGTTTTGATCTAGAAATAATTTTAGCTCATATTGTCCATGGAAGGAAAACAATAATGAAGCATGAAAGTGAATAAAACCGTCGCCAACACCATAATCTTAAATATATCCTTAGAGAGTTGAGGCAGTATACTAGTGTTAGAAGAGAAAGCTAGACAATAGACTTGGTATGTTGGGTATATGTTTTGTATAGCAATACATTATAATTATGCCTACTTCATGTTTTAAAAATTTAGGTCACATGCTCTTTGCTCTTTTTAGTGGATCGAGCTTTGGTCTCCAATCCATAAATTTGTTACCAATTGACTACCTAATTTGGCAAGTGTGAGATCAATCTTCAGTGAAATCCACTAGGTGAATCAAAATCCAAAAAAATGAAGAAAAAATAGAGTGATAAAACTAACTACCACACCAACAAATTTAGAGGTTTTAATTGGCTGCTTCGTTCTTACTAAGCTGATGCAGACAGAGTCTTTCCTAATCAAGTAATAAAACTGAAAACAACACAAGGAGGTTTGCGTAGACAGCTACCTGCTGAAATGCTTGTTTGCTTGCGTGCCTGGTTTTTGTAATTACGTTGTTATGAGCAGTTAACTACTCTTTATTAGCTTCGAAGGGATTGATAATTTTAGACTTTATTTTGATTTATCTTCCTCCTACATATTTCTCTCTTTGTTAGCTTCAATGAAAGAGTTCTGTTTGGCCTGTAGCG